ACTTTGTTATTATATTGTATTATTCCGTGGCAATACATTGGCAGTGAGAAGCTGTGGTAGAGAGAGATTGTGATGGTGTGGGGCGGGTAACCCGGGGAATGAGATGTCACTGTGAGCAATGTGCTTTGGAGTGTGTTCTGGGGTGAGAGAGTGAATCACTTCTTTTTAGCTAGAAGATACCTCGCACAGTGCTGCAGGAACCAGGTTGATGAAAATTTAAATTTGAAAACATATGACTTGTTATTTTATTATGTAGAGAAAAATATTTACTTAATATAAGTAGAATAGTTGAATGAAAAACATTTGTCAATGCGTGGTTGAATATTGTGGTGGTTCTTTCTTCGTGCATGGTTGCATGTTGATGTGGGACTTATTCCATCCATAATTATATGCTGAGGTGGCATGCTTGCATGGGGAGATAAATAATCGGTAATAGATTTTTAGTTGGATCATCGCTTTATATGTATACATCGTCAATTTTCCCTTTTGTTACCAATTTACATTGCAAGTGAAGTGGACTTCAAGTATTATAAAATTGTGTCCGTGTTATATTATCTCTACGTGTGAAAATATTTCAAAAGCCCGTGGCAACGCACGGGCACTCTACTAGCATGCATATATTGTTTGTGCAGGATGGGCATGAGTTGAGGAAATACTTTTTATTATGCTCCCTCCATTCAGAAATACTTGTCCGAGGAATGGATGTATCTAGATGTATTTTAGTTCTAAATACATCAATTTGTCTCCATTTTTACGACAAGTATTCCCGGACGGAGGGAGTACTTGCTAAAACATCGTGGGAATGAAGCTAAAGGCAACTTTCCTGATATTGTGCAAGAATTTCATAAGCGCATAAAGTAGATCTTCATAATTTTATAATAGATGTTTAGTTGGAACATCGCTCAATTTGTTACACGCATATGTCGTTATTTTACCTTTTTATTATCAGTTTACATTGCAAGTGAAGTGGCCTTCAACAATAATTAGTTGTGTTTGTGTTATTTTGTCTGTACGTGTGAAATTTAACATGCATTATCTTTGTATAACTCTTGCAAAATATTTCAAAAGCCCGTGGAAACGCACGGGCATTCTACTAGTATGTATTAATTACTAATTAAGGGCATTAGAGATGCAATCTTCCGTACAATTTTACATTAGTGAGAGATATCGCATAAACTTTTTCTTCGGGAGAAGGAAGAGAAGAACCAAAGAGAAGAAAATATCACCACGGTAAAGGAACTACCACTGATCATGCATAAAGCATAGCACACCTTCGTCCCACTTCTATAATTTAATTTTATTAATCTCATATTTTTGATAGTCATGTGGTACTTTTTATTTACCTTTCTTAGGAACAACGAGTACAAACAAACATAGAAGCTCCATAGACATATCACCAGTTCATGACCACCCCCCACACACACACGCAGACACGCTCACAAATTGCCCGCCTCTTCATTTTTTATATACGGTAAATCCTTCCTTGTTCTGGAATAAAATCTTTGGTACTTGAGACATAGCTTTTGGGTGGTGTACATGGAATAGGAAGCGTGTAATACTCATTCTTATTCCACGCACAAGTTGTACAACCCTGTCTCTGTCACTATGTACTAGTTCTATGTAGTATAGTTCATGTGCCTGTGGCAGCACTATATAAAGAGTCATTTGGTTACCGGTGAAAGGAGACATCTTCGTGTACATCTCTACACTAGCTCCATTCGTTTACCTCGCGTGAACAGGTGCGTATATGTGTCCTACTTTTGTTATGTTCTCATTCTTTCCTTGAAAAGCTGCCTGTTGCATCTTCCTTGAGTGTCATCTATTATGATCTATTATATCATGCAAAGGTATTCTCCTCTCCTTGAAGTTGCAACCTTTTTATCTCAGTTGCAATTTCAGTTTCTACAAAGCCTTTTTATCTTTACATGCTGACCTAGTTATACATGCCTTGTTGATGATTTGAGCACGCACGAGATAACAAAAATAAAAACGGTATCATGCTTAGCAAAAACTAATATATTGGTGAGACACCGGATTGATTTTTTTGGGTTGATTATTAAACAAATCGGCATGCATTCAAAACTCTTTAATGTATACAATATCATTAGCAAACAATTTCATGCATCTTCTGTTGCTTCATGCATCAGCCCTGCATATCTCGTTGTTACTCTTCTAAAGAAACTCGTTTGCCTTCCACTCGTCTACATTTATTTCATATACGTAATTAGCCTCTTCTCTGACGGCTCTATGATGCCTCCTAGATATTGTCCTCCCAGGAGTCCTCCCAATATATGGTTGATTGACACCGAAATGTTCAGCTACTTCATCCCTATTGTGATCTATTAACACTTGTAACAGGGTCTCAAAATCGCGATCCCCCTTCCAGAGGCCATTCATTGCACTTTCTACTTAGTCTCCTCTCCAGTCATGCTTGTAAGAGTACCTTGGCAGGTTTCTCGCTGATATTACCTAAAATATAACTTTCATTGCCACTTTCTGAACTGATTTCTTTGTTCTAAAAATATACTACACAAATAAATCACTCTTTCATTCATCTAATTTTTTCTTTTATCTATGTGTGGAGAAAATTCCATTTGACCATGGAGTTGGCTGGGTCTCTTTTGTTGAGACTTATAAATCAGCCGCCGGTATTGTTTTTTGAGTTGAGCTAGTTAGAAAGGCATGTTAACAAGTCACCCGTGGGTCATATGTTTAAGTATGCCATTTGAATATGCAATGACATATCTTTATTGTGCTATAGATATTGATTTAGAAAAGGTTGTATTCGCTATCCCAAAACCTAATGTCATACTTCCAAATGCAATGATCACTTTTCCATGTTGAAAACTTTTTTAGAATATATTTATGAATTACAATTTGTTGCCAAAATGATTTTAATGCCTTGATGTCGATAATTAATTCCCCTTGCCAGATTACCATTCTCCTACATTTTTAATAATTTGCATGTTAATTATAAATCTGTTAAAAATTATGTTGATTGTAGGAGTTAGGACCTTTTTGCTTGCAAAGTGATGGTGTTCCATATTTGGTACATTATCATGTTTTGCAGGTGTCAAAGTGCACAGAGATGACGCATAAAGATAGGAAAGACTATTATCTTAAGGATCTATTTTTTCAACAATATGAAGATAAAAGTATGGATCCATCACGTTTGAGCGACATAACAGATAATTTCTCCAAGAAGGCAGAGATTGGTAGTGGTGGATTCGGAGTGGTTTACAAGGTACGTAGATTACTTGGTCTTTTTTATGCAAAAGCAGGAGTTTTTTTGTGTGTTTTCAGGTAGAAGTTTTCTAAATACGTCTCCAAGTAGGAGTTTTATTGGGGCAAAAAAAAGCTTTCTAAGACTTTTATCATAATTTTCTTAGGCAAGTGTGCTTGTTAAATAATACTTGTATATATGGAGAAACATATAGGGAGTGCTTCGAGATGGTTTTGTTGCTGTCAAGAAATTCAAAGAGGCAATTGACGACAAAGCATTTGTGGATGAGGTCAACTGTCTCACAAAGATTGAGCACCCTAATATAGTAAAATATATTGGTTATTGTGCTGGATCAGAAAAACACATTGCAATGAATGAGGGGAAGACCATTTTAGCAGAATCGCCATATCAGTTAATTTGCTTCGAGTATCTTCGCAAAGGAAGCCTTGACATGCACCTTAATGGTACACTAACAAGCATTTGCTGTTAAATTATATACGGAGTAAATCGACCAGAACAACATATTTCGTATCCAAATTATGATAAAAAATACTTCAAATACATTTATGGTGAAAACATAATCATTTTTTAATGATAATAGATCGTAAATATATACTATTTGTTGAAGCTTATCACCCCGCTGCTACAGTTGCTAACTAGATGCCAGGAGTATAGCTAGCATTGTAAAATATGATATTGAACACATTGCATGTGGTTTAGAATATTATTTCACGCAAAGTATAATATGTGAAATGCAATCTAAAAGTTAACTTATTTTAATATTCATTACTGGGAGTGTGGCCACATTACATGGAAGTTATAAATTTTTGAAACTCCACTTAATTTCTTTCCCAAACCTAAAAGTTTACTTCTGTAAGTAGTATATAAAAACCACCTTCTTTTTGAAAATGCATATTAAACTCGTGCTTCGTTTCATGTAAGCTTTTCCGATTAATACTATTTTCTTTGATATAATGTTCCGCAAACAATATTTGTAGCGGCTATAGCACCGATCTAGTGATGTATGCTTACAATGCGGGCGCAGTTTTAAGCACTGATTTGCCTCTTTAGAGTTTTGTTTCATGAAATTTATATACAAAATGTGACTCACTAATTTGACAAAATTTTATTTAAGTTTACAGTCTCATTGACATGGAAATACTTTTTTAGCATTACTAATTTGTTTGTTGAATAGACAAACCATGTGGACTTCCATGGCAAGTGTGCTACAAAATCATCCAAGGAATTTGTCTAGGTTTGCACCATCTTCATGAGCACAGAATCATTCATAGAGATATCAAAGCAGGCAATATTCTACTTGATGATCACATGACTCCGAAAATTGCGGACTTTGGTTTGTCAAGGTTCTTAGGGGATGCTAAAAGCAGAATTAACACTCGCCAAGATGGAACACTGTAAGTTAGATATCCCTTGGAAATTCTGTTGTCCAGACGGACAAATAATTCTTGTACGATTGACTATGAAGCACCAATTTTCATGCAGGGGATACATGGCACCTGAAAGTATGTTCAATGGAGTATTTACTTTCAAGTCCGATATATACAGTCTGGGCATGATAATCAGAAAGATTGTGACTGGTAACAGTGCAATATCAAAGGAAGAGACCGTAAGGATTTCTCTTCAATGTTTTTTTACTATTTCTTCAATGTTAACCATTCTATATAAATGGAACCAGGATGTGGCCTCTTGTTCTAAACAAACTTTACCATGAAAATGTAGTTATACGTGTGGGGTCATAGGTCAAACCTAGATGCATCACAGAGGCCCACTCCGTTGGATCAAGTAGAAGAATGCATCGATATATCAATAAGCTGCACAGACATAGCTAAAGCAGCAGAGAACAGACCTGATATGCGGGATATCCTCCGTAGGCTTGGTATAATAGGAACTAGTGGCTGCTCTGCCGCAGGTGGCATAAACACTTCTCCGGCACCGGTACGATCATTCCAATTACAAGTTGTGAAAACACATGAGTTGTCACAACCGCATGTGTCATCATTTTTCTTTGTTAGTGGAGGTATGATGTCTCTTAAAGTTGATATAAGTATTTTGTATCCCAATAGTCATCATCGACGAGAAAGGGGCCGAAGGTCGAAACCGAGCCATCAATGGCAGCATCAGCTAAGAGGCCAGGAGAGGCAAGCCCTGAAAAGTTGGAGGTAACAATTGACGCCAGGCCCAAGATGGTTCCATCGAGATCGTTGCAAATTGCGAATAACCGACCAAGGTTCTGGAGATGGCTTGCCATCACAGATTCTAGGTTTGAACACTCGCCGAACATTCAAACTACATAGATTTCGTAACAAACTACGCACTCAAACTAACAATTATAATTTTGACGGGCTTTGTTGATAAAACAATACATGACATGTTTTCTTTGTATCATCATGACAAGGTTTGGCGAGTGTGTGGAGCTCTTGAGTGTATACTTCCTACAAGTTACCGGAGAGATCCCACCAAGGGAGCTATCTGCCGGCACATCCTACGATGTTCACCTCGTATACAAGTTGGCGACTAAAACCATTGGCCTAAGAGGTTCCATACAGACATCATCAATGAGGCTCCATGGGAAGCAGGTCATTACCACCAACAAGGTTTGCCTCGAACCCAAAGCGCACGGAATGGCGGATGATGTGATGTGCCCTATCAAGAGGGGTGATGGTTGGTTGGAGCTCAGGCTGGCAGAGTTTGTAAACGATGACAATATGCTTACAGAGGAGGGGGTGATCGTGGTTCTCCGCGAGGAGGACACCACTATTCAGAAGAGCGGCCTCATCGTGGCGGGCATGGAGTTCAGAAGCAAATAGATGTGTGTGCCAAATATTTTTTACCATAATATGTAATTCATGGATGGATGTAATAAGCAAGGGAAACCGTCCTGACATGGCTATGCAGTTGCACGGACCATATCCAAATATTGTCGGGGTTTTAAACAATATATTGTTCATGTTTACTACAACGTCCATTCCATAATATAATTCCTATAAATTCTTTGGGAGGTCGGGCCTCATAGAATTTGACCAAGTTTATTGAGAAAAATATCAACATTAATAATACCAAAAAACATAGTATAAAAGTATGCTCATGGTGTACCTGATGATATTACACCGTCCATCCATATATATAGGGTCTACTGTGTTATTTGAGACTGTCTTTGACTATTAATTAAATTAATAGTATGTGAGATGTATAATGTGAAAATTATATCATTGGAAACTCCATTTACGTACGAATTTGATGGTATGCTTTGTGTAACTTGCATGTCATATATTATGGCTCTAATATGTGGTCAAAATTAGCCTCAAAAAACGTATTAGGCCTTATCATTTCTTGCTATTTCCATGGCCCATGCCACGTGTATATGGTGGTTGTGTGGTAGGAGAGAGAGAGAGAGAGAGAGAGAGAGAGAGGAGTGGAGTTACATGAATGGTATTGATGCAAACTAGGATTTCTTTGCAGGCCTTATTGCGCTATATCGTGCACTAAGGCCAAATCAGAGGAGCACCCAATTTCCGCTGCCCTTTTCTGCTCTTGTCTTTGCGCTAGGCGCTCATTGCAAGCAAAGGCTACGTTCCCGCTCATCAACTACCGCTTATGTGCTGAGGTACTTTCAAATTCTTATTGGCTTTCAAATCATACTCTACTTGTCACCGAACATGCAACTAGTGTGTTAAATACACATGGGTAATGAATCAGTATTACTGTTGAGTTTATTTGAACATCAACTATGGGTGATAAGTTGCGGTTAACAATGAGAAATCAAGGACCTCTCAGGAAAGGAGGTATTACACACACCGAAATCCAGCTTCTCCACTTGTGCATTTGTTTTACCATTCCACTTATGGATCGGATGACTGCAAATTGATGGAAACGCGTGTTCTCGGGCTGGTATATGTTTATTAATAGAATATGTGAGATTAGTGATATATTCATTGATCAATTAAAATAAGTTGTTCGCACACCGGAATGTATGATATAACTGCTTCGCTTCTAGGGTTTTTTGTGCCAAGTCATTGGCTTTGTTTACATTTCTCTTGTGGTATTCATGCGACTGCGAGTAATGGTACTGATTGGAGCTGGTTTATATCAAACGAGCTCTTTGCATCTTGCCTCTTGGGGAACTCAGCTGGTAGGTCAGATCGACTTGATGTGCGTGTGTGGCAGCTGGATTAGGAAGTAGTAGTCAGGAACTCGGAAGCCGATCGTGATTACTGTTATTTTTAAAGGGGGGCATGTATGATCTATCTCTTGGGCTAGCTCGTCATCGACATGAGACTTCATCATAGCATAATTATCTTTAATCAAAGGAAGAAGTACTACATACAATTGATCATAAGGCTAGTTTTGATGAACGCGACAATACCATGTCATTGTGGTATGTAAGCGTGTTGACAAGAGAGGTGCCAACAAAGCGTGTTGACAATGGCAATGGCGATGTTTTTTTCCTGTCATTACCTTGTTGAAGGAATTCCACGAGTATGCTTGGACTTGTTCTTCAAGGTGAAAACCTAGAAATCTGGCCTCTAGTGGTTGGCTCCGGTAACGACAATGTTTGAGCATCGTTCCCATTCCTGAAGGCGTTACTATTTAAGAAAAGCGTTGTCCCTGTGGTGTCAAGAGATGGTTGGTGCAGATGTGGTCGTTGTTGTAATTTGTTTATCACTGTTTTGATCACTTTGGTTTTTTTTTCTCCTCGCTTAGGCATAGCCTTGATATTATGTGACTTTTCTCTTTGTCGTCGTGTTTTATTCTTTGTTTTTGTGCGTTAGTATTTATTGTGTGCATTGTATCTATGCGGATGATAGATGTGTGTTCATTGTGTTTTTAATTCACTTTATGCTTCATTTTTTGAGTTAATAAAATCCACCCTTTGCCCCACAAAAAGGACAAAGACAATACCTAAGGTGAGGTGAGCGCCCGTCTGACCGGGACTCTACGTCGGTGGTGAAAGACAATCAAATCCCCGAGACCATGCGCACCAATTGCTCCCTAAACACTGACGGCCAACATCGAAGGCCACCTCTCTGCCCGCACAATAAGAAGCCATCTGGCCATTACAATTGCATCAGGCAAGCTGCTCCCGAGCTAGACAACACCAACCAGCGAGGAACAATGTCACGGTAGCAGCCCAGCCCACGATCCCACTTGGTGAGTTGTCATTAGGTTCAGGAACATTACAAACATGAGCTAACGTTCTAGCTCCTTGGTCAATCAGCAAAAGAATTTGAATCATAGAAACAGTCTCCGTAAGCGCTTGCCACTGTTTTCCTGGTAGGTGCGGAACTTCCATAGAATCACCCGCACAGCAACTCCATACGTGAAGGACAAGTTCAAGAGAAGAAATTACTTTCTGGTCAAATGTTTTGCTAATTATAAAATAAACGGAGACTGAGCATAGTGCATGATGTCGTACCAGTTGAAATGCACAACGCGTCTTAAACTTTTCATCAGATCAACAAATATCTCAATAGTGGTAATATATTTAAACCAGCATGGAAACACGTACACGCTTTGCCATCAATTTGCACTCATCCGATGGACAAGTGGAATGAGAAAAGGTAAAACAAATGAGATGAACAAGTGGAGAAGCAGGAGGATATAGTAGCTTTGTTCCTGCCGGGTACTTGTTTTCATGACGTTTTTCCAAATTGTCAACCATACGTTTGATGTTCAAAACTCGCTACTATTATTCTTTTCGATGGAAGTGTAAGCGCTCTGCCTATTCACTAAGATAGAAAATTAAAAAGTTATGACGACTGTTTACAAGACAAAATAGAAATAAACAACGCTCTCATTGATCCAAACAGTCCTCAACTGCCAAACATTTCCACCAACCGGAGTGGTTGTGACTAAGTTCTTCGGGACGCCTCCAAGCTGGAAAACCATAGTCGAGGGCACCATGGTCAGCATCGATACTAGTCGACGACTTCGGCTTGTGTTGGCGTTTGGGTGCTTGTGTAGGCCACTCCTTCCATCAAAAGGACATCTATGCCCTTTGTGGTTTTTGGTGTTAATGTCAAGTGATTAGTACACTAATCATGCTAATGGGTATACATGCGAATAGTTAGCCACACAGACCTGACAATCAGGATCCACCGTTAAGAATGCTTACAAAAATTGGAATGGGCTAAAATCTAGCAACACTTCCACGTAATGGGGTATAATGGATGAAATGCTGATAAATGGGGCAATTAATGTCAAAACTGATAGATTAGTGGGTAAAAACTGGAATCCGCTCTTATCTATATACGCGCAATCTTTAACTGTTCTTGGAGAAAATCTTTGGTGCTTGAGACATAGCTTTTGTGGGTGGAGTAGTAGTACAAGGAATAGGAAGCGCGTGATGCTCGTTCCTACTGTTCGCACAAGTTGTACTGTCGGGTCTCTATCACCGTGTGCTAGTTCTGTGCAGTAGTTTATGGGCCTATGCAAGAGCTATATAAAGAGCCGTTCGGTTACCAGTGAAAGGATACACCTCCGCATCGTTGCAGCCTCCTGCTTCCTTTCAAGTTTTTCTTCCGTCCTGGCCTTGTGTCAACTGGTGCGTATATTTGTCTTAGTCGTCCATAAACGATATATTGTCTGTACATGTTCATTATGTCATCTTTATATTTCTGTGCGACAAGTAATATGGATCGGAGGGAGTACTTTCTTTTGAGTTCGCTCCATATATGCATTGAAGGTGCAACCATCTTATTATCTTAATTATCTTTACATGCTGAGCTAGTTAAACATGTTTTTTTGAGGATCTGAGAATGCAAACAATAAAAATAAAAAACAATAAATGGTATCAGGCTTAGATAAAACTACGATCTTGTGAGAACTTTGATTCTTTTCTGAGCTATTTTACGGTACCCTAGTGCTCCCAAAACATGTGCTGGAGTACCGAACAAATCTTGCCATCCATTGTAAAGGGTAACTTAGTCATTTTCCCACGGGTACTTCCGATTTTCTCCTGTGATCTCGCATAGATGCCAAATAGCTCCCAAAAGAAACTCTAGATCGAGCCAGAAAAAACTCCCGTTCGTTCGGCCGGAAATCCTGATCGCTCGGTGCATAAAAGATCATTCTTTTTCTTCTGGGTTCGAGTATGAAGCATACTGTCATGTACTGAAATATCTTAAATTTATAGAAAACAGGGGGATGCGTGTTGGAAGCTCGGGCTCATATGCTTCTGCATGAACAATAAAAAAGTAATAACTTCAAAACAAATTCTGAAATTATTCGACAATGACCATGAATGTGTTTTATAAGTTCTAACTGCAAGCAGATGTGTGGTTGCCTCGAATAAAATCAATGCTGGAAAAGGCTTTTCAGATAAATGATTTTTGCATGTAGTTGGAACATGCTAAGATGTTTATTGTCATACAACTTCAGATTGCTTTGCTTTTTTTTAATTATTTTTTCACTTTGCCGTTCACGCGGTAGCATATCCAGCCTGAGAACCGTTTTGAATTTCTGATCACCATCAAACATTCCATGCATCTTCTCGTGTTTCTCCCATCCAGCGCACACAACACACATGCAGAGACATCTATAATTGTACTACGCTCCGACTCGCCAGCACGACCCGCTGTTTGGTTAACGAAAGGACTACTACCAAGCCACAGAAAAATCTGTCGACAACTCATCCGGTCCACTCATCTCCACTAAAATTATGGAGCATAATGATTTAAAAGAATAAAATGAGAGGGCTTCTTCAGAAATTGTTGACCCGATCAAAATCGAGCGACCCAATTTTAAATTGGATACCTCAATCGACTGTGAGGCCTGTATAATTAGGGAGCATAGTGTATTAACTAGAAGG